TTATTTTTTTTTTTTTTACGAACTCTTTTCCCTTTCATGATAATTTTCGTCAGTTTCGCCTAATTTGGCAAAATTCGGCCTTTAAAATGAACCAAGGCTAAGGAAAATGCCCATTTCTGTCCCTACTTCGTCTGCTCCAAATTGTCCTTTCCTCCACTTTGGGTCTGTGAATATCTCATGCAGAAACATGCAGGGGCTTGCACGACCCATTTTCATGGAGTTTATGAAGCAGTTCAATCTGAAAAAAACTATGTTCCTTACTTACATACCTTAGAATTATCAAATTTGAGGATTATAGTTATGAAAGATGTTGCGTCTATTTCAGCTAAACTTGTCTCCATCCTTATCAAACAAACGCTATTTAAGTCGCATACGACTAGTAAATCAAAGTGCGAGAGATTTCAGTTCGTCGAGTTTAAATGCAGCATTACGAATCAAATGATGATGATGATGATAAAAGTTAAACACGCTTGTTGGATAGATATCATAATTGCCTATTCTCTTCAATTATATAACAGGAACGAAAACTTGCAAAAAAGGTGAATTTGAACAGAGGCAAACATTTTAAAAATAGAATACGGGACCTTGAAAACAATCGGTCGCCCAATAGCCAAACCATAAAAGCCCCCGAGGAAAGGCTCCTGTTAGTAGGTGGATGGAGTGGGGGACAGACTGCCTCCAGACGGAAGCGAGCAGGATGATTCGGTGCAAGGAATAAAAGAAAGAGGTCAAGAAAGATTAGAGTTGGAATCGCTGGTGGTCACAAAGCCGATAGACGCCTGGGTGTCGATGAAAAGCGGGTGAGATATCTCAAGAGACCGAGGAAATCCGAGAACTTGGAAAAACAGAGTGTTGATGAAGCTGTGAATGGTCTATAAAGGTAAAATGGCAGATGTAGCTGTGAAGAAGCTAAAAGGTAGGTACACGAAATCGAAATGTCTACTTGTTAGTTCCTAGTACAGTGGTGTACCTCTAGACTGATTTTTCTTTTTCGAAGCTATGCGCCATCTTAATTTTTCATCATTTTTCTCTTGGTGAAAAACACCCATAAAGTCTGCTATTGTCTCCTCTAAACGCTCTCTGCAGCCTTAACCAAGCCAGTTTTGTCCATACGTAATTTTGTTACCATAGCCAGATCCGATGAGCGAACTACGTAAAATGAAGCAATTTAAAAAGTTCCCTTGTTTTCCTTCTCTATGTCACCGTAGACCTCAGTGCCATTGCTAAAGAAACCCTGCTTAATGAGGTAAGGACCTTAGAGCAAGCTGGGAAACATCCTAATAATGTCACTTTGATTGGCACAAGGATAGAGGGAGGTAAGTCAGTTTTTAACGATTCAACGTCTTAGAAATATGCATGTTTACTGGGTGATTAACGGTAACAAGGTAATGTTTCAGCACATGTACTGGCCTTAAAGAAAGATAAAAATATTTTTTTGTGGGCTAAATTCAGGGAAGTGCAAATGGAATTTTTTTCCTGTTTTTTTGGCAACCAACTAAACTTAAATTATCGACGAATCACCTTTGGATTAACTCAAGGTGCCAATAATGTCTAATTTCTTTCTCTTGTCAACTTATATGTTTGCTCAACTCTCTCAAGGTCACTTAATTGGTTCATGGTGGCAGTCTGGAAAATCTTTTGAGGGCGCCAGGGGAAAGGAACAATTATCGTAATGTCTGCTGTAAGCTGAATGACCGGCAACTGGTCACAATTGCATTTCAGATCACCATGGGAATGCAGCACTTAGAGGAGAGAAAGGTAAGACCTGCAGAGAGTATGTAGAAATAAATGTAAAGGTAAATTTTCCAACCTTCCATTAGAAATGACTGCTCTCAAGAGATTACAAACAGTTTATGATCTCTTGCTGCACTAAATATAACGCGGGCAGTTCGAGGTTGTGAACTGCTGATCTTTTGCATTTTGGTATAGGCCACTCAATCCCTCGTGAGCCTCTGTCAAGCAAAACATCTAAAAACGCGTGCAATCCCAGCTTGTAAATTAGCTTCAGGACACAATGAGGATCTTTCACACCTTTGCATAGGCCACTCAATCATTGAGCGTGTCTAAGCAAAAAAATTATACATTGTCTTCTCTCGCAGTTTGTCCATCGCGACTTAGCAGCGAGGAATATTTTAGTTGATGCCAACTTGGTGGCTAAAGTTGGAGACTTTGAATTAGCCAGGGACATATCCGCTGCTAGTAGATACGCCATGACCAGCGTAAGTACGCTTTGCAATCAAAATCAGCTAAATCTACCAAAACGAAGAATTGATTATAATAACTGTAGCAACAATTATTTTACCCAACCAAACAGGGGAGTTTCGTGACAAACAAATCGGATTCCTGTTTCGTGGTCGTCCGATTTTCTAATCACTCGTATGACTACAGACCGAATAGGACTCCACTCAGTCTTATTACCATTATTAATTATGGATTAGTTTCTAAATTCATGATTATGTTAACAACAATAATTATAACGGTCACAGTAACTATCACTCAGAATTTTACTGGAAATTAATAATGATTACAAACTATCATATATCTCAACGTCGAAAAAGAACTCGCTTACTATTAATGAATGCATCTTTCCGTTTCATAGGTCATCCGCTTCCCAGTTTCAAAGGGCATTGCCTGTACTACAAACAGTAGCTTGCTCACATTAATCTATCTTTTCAACAGGGCAAGGTTCCATGGAGATGGTCGTCGTTAGAATCTCTACGAGATCTGCATTTTACATCCATGAGTGATGTGTAAGTTTCATTTTCATTTCTGTCTCTTGACTTCGAATCGGAAGTACTGCCTAGTTGAAAGGATTTCCAAAAAAACACATCTGCTTTGCGCTCTGGTATATTCCTTGGAGCATTATTATGGTCATATCTGGGCTTCCTTTTTACGTTGTTTGTCCGTCTTCATGTACATGTACATGCATGGTGTATCTATACCTATTTGCATTTATGGACACACCATGGGAACTTAGTATGACTTAATGAATTCCTTCCTTCCAATCGGGCATCATATGCACATATTAACTGATTGAAATAAATACCACAGGCAAAGTCCACATAAAAGGAAAGACTCAACAAAGTTTTGAGTGATGTAAATATCCATTAAACACTAAAAGAATACAACGAGACTCGATCTTTAATCAATTCAGCGCTAATAGTTCGAATTCTTTTTTCATTGAAGTTATTAACCCTTTCACTCCCAAGATCTCATTGTTAATTCTCCTTACTGTCTGCCATAAAATTCCTTAGATTTTATTCGGAGAATTTGGAATGGTTTTAACAAATAATCTCCTTGATATATATATTTTTTATCTTATCACTTGCCTGCTTGATATTGTATTGATATTGTAAGGAGAAATTCTGTCTTATAGACACAAGTATCTTCATTTTGGCAATGATTATTGCCAGTCAAACGAAACTGAACAAGATGAGAAGACCACCTCTAGGTATAGGTTGTGCTCGTATCAAACATTTTATACGTGCTATATCTTATTTGTCACAGTGCTGCACTTAATTTTATCTCCCTAAATCAGTCACATAAAGTCTTAGCAAGTCTCTATTTATTTACAAAGTTATTGCTGAAGTACTTATTGTCTTAAATGATATTTTTAAAAAAAATGAAATCGTTAAATCATATCTTATTTCCGCCAAACAGGTGAGTTGCCATACCCTGACATCACATCACCAATTGCCTTAGTAACTCGACTTGCTTCAGGATACCGGATGCCTCGTCCCGACCGATGTTCAGAAGAACTGTAAGCTATAAAGTCTTAAATAATGCTATTGAAATTAAATTGAGTCATTTAATATGAAAAAAGGCTTCAAATAATGGACGTTTACTTTCCGAATTCTTTTAAAAATAATTGAAAAGCGTTTTACTCTTCCAGCAAAGTCTCGCAAGATCCGCTGACACCCACTTTTTCTCGTTGAAAATCAAAACAATGCATTGAATCAGCAGTGATGGTTTAAAAACAATTTGTACATCAAATCAAATGTCACATTCGGCCAATAAGTGATCTTTCCGATGATCATTGTCATGAGTTCAAAATCACCTCTTTGCACCCTTTTCCACGCTTGGTATGGTCCATTCAGATGCTGGGAATATCAGCTGCAAGACAAGTTAGCTGTATTTAATTTTTAGATATGAGCTCATGAGTTCTTGTTGGAAAGAAAATCCTTTGATGAGACCAGCCATTTCGCGGATCGCTCAACAGCTGAAGAATTTTTGCGTGAAGTGAAGGTAATAAATGGTTGTATTTAGAAGCTTTCCATTTCTTCCCTTCCTTTCGCTTTTCTCAAAATTATATCTGCCCTCTTCTTCCTCCTTCCATTAATTCATCTTTGCTTCCCTTCACCCTTCCATGGATCTCTCTGTCACTCTGTCAGTCCTTCTGATAAACCTTTTATCTCCAACTGCAGCTATCCACTCATCCATTCGTAAACATAGTCATCCATCCATTTGCTTTTCCGTCTATCGATATGACCTTAACTACCGTTCGTTCCTTCGTTTGCTTGTTATTCGGTTCATTCTTTGCTTAGATTTAATCCTTATACAGTACAACCGTTATTTCTATCCTTATTCGTATTTTTTTGTGACTAATTTATTCAGAGGACATATACAAATATCACAGAGGTCAACGATGAGGAAGCTTGATGACACCCTGACGCTGAAGCAAACACCTCATTTTATTTAACTGATAGTAGGAAGATAACCACGGGACCTCAAATGAGAGCATAGACTCAAAACTTGAGAATTAATTTTTTTTCCTTTGTGGAGGAAAGTTTTCCTTACAACAAGTACTACAAATCGTAGCAGAGAATAAAACGGTGCATCCTTTATTAATTACGATGCTGAAGTGGCTAAGAAAAATCATTTCTATCGCGTACATAGACTAGATTGACGTGGATTGAATTAACTCAGAAAAAATCTAAGCACGTATCTGATTTAGCTTAAAACAGGTCCTCCTTATCAGCGCTGCCGCACGAGTGCTTTCTTCGCTCGCAGGCAGACTACTTTTCGTCCGTGCTCTAGCCGCTTCCAGCGCGCTTTACAACAGAATAGAACACAGTCCAGCCTTCTTTATTTGTTAAATAAAAGACGGAACTTTTGAAAGATAATGGAATAAATAGTAGGAAGATAACCACTTTCGAATAAATATTGACTATAAATCAAGGTTACAGAGAGAGCAAGGGGCGAAGTGTGACACGCGACTCTAGACAGAAATAATCTTCAGCAAAATAACATCTTTAAAAGTATGTTTACCAAAATATTGACAATAATATCAACACGTAAATGAAGTTAAAGTGTGTTAAGAGAACAATTTTTTTCTGTCTTACGGCCAGAACAAAATTTTCACTCGACTTTATTTCCGGTTGGCATGTGCTTAAGTCTTTTTACACGTCATTCAAATGCCTTTCTTCAAAATATTCTTTATTAAATAAAAACTATTTACACCATCATAATTAGAATATCTATCTATCTATCTATCTATCTATCTATCTATCTATCTATCTATCTATCTATCTATCTATATATATCATATGTGCATTAAAAATAAATAATAAAACGAGCCACAAAACGAGAAGATGAACGCGATAACCAACCTTACAGTTCCGACATTTCTTGGTCAATAGCTTGTGATCAGCCCCTCATTATTAGCGCTGGAGGAGCACGTTTTTCCGCCCGCGGAAAGATTTGAGATGAGCCAGAGAGATTTACTGAGAGTCTGGCACTATAAGTACAAGACCTCGGCAAACCTCTGGCTGGCTCGCGTTGCTCGTGTACTTTCCTTTTTACGAAAAAACACTCGCACCGATGCACTTATAATGACGACCAGCGCGAAGTTTAAACGGTCAAAACAGTGACATATCTTCTAGGAAAGGCTTACTCAGGCTCATTGCGATGCAACATTAACTGCATCTCGACAATTAGGTATTATTACTGGAGGGCAGACCATTATTGCAACAAACAATGTACACAATAAAAGGTTAGAGCTAGTGGTGTTTTCTTTCCTTTCACAAAAAACAGATTTCGTATGTTAGTTCTATTGCCGTTTGTGGCTTCTTAATATTTTTTTTTGCAATCTTTTGTTGATCTTTTATCCCAGTTCGATCAAATACGCCATGATTGACATGAGTTAAATTCAGTGAAACTGAAACCATCAACTTTTCTCTTTAGTGGCTCAATAAGATGCGTTTTGATCTTTTATCATTGCAAAACAATCTCTTCTTTAAATAAAGCCATCGCTGAAAGCTACTGAAGCGCTTTACCGGGTCCTAAAGATCTTTAAGAAGCTAGACACCACCATTTCGGGCCAAGACGTAATGGTAGAGGTTGATGGTTCCCGAAGTACTCCCAGAAGTCTTTGCGTCAAAAGCTTTTATTGGAACCTTACCTCTAAAGATTGGCGATAAAACTATCACAGAAGATTACAATCAAGAGTTCACAAGAGAGCTAAAGAAGGGTGGCCTTCGCAAGCAATGTTAAGACAAATAACACCTACCAAGATAAGAAGAAAATTGTCTCACAATTTTCATGGTTTCGAGTCTGGTTAGTTAACGAGTGATAGCCAGACATGAACATAACGTAGATGTGAAATACCAACGAACACAAGAACTAATCTGGACGCAAGCAGTCGATTCTATTTTGGCGTTTTCTACTGCCAGGCAGCTACCAAGCAGTGATTGATGGAAACTCATCTCGTCTTAGTTGTCATCTTTAAACTGGACAACATCCGATCATATCATCACCAGCTACGGCTGAATCGCCTACATCGAGGCATTTTCGTTCTATTTACTGCAGATTTCCTTCAACAACTTGAACATTTCACACGTGTGTGACGTCTGCCGATCGTCTGCATAGCAACCAAGTTCTTTCCACCCGTGGCTCCATTCTTTCCTTCTCCTGGTGTTTTACTGAAGTAGTTTCAATCTTTTTCGGATTCTTCGCTTCTAGATCATATCCCTGTTTTCTTTTCCTGAGACCGCAAAACAAAATGATGTTCACTCTGATCGACAGCGGAAGGCAGGCCATTAAAGGAATCATGATTGTTCAATTAAGTTCTGAAACTGAAGAAATATAACATTGGTCAGACCTTACGTGTGAATGGTATTACGCACGTGCCCTGTGGAAGGCCTCGCTTAAATAATAACGAAAACAAAATAAGTAATTTAAAAATTGTAAAGAACGGTCTAGCGACAACAGATTATGACTCGTTATGAGAACAGCAGAGGTTGTTACATAACAATAGCGCGAACAGAAAAATTGTAGAAGGAGGGGCGTACCGTGGTGCCGTCTTTTCCATAAATTAAAATAGCGGCTCAACAGAAATTAAGTCCGGAAAGGGTAAAGGAAAGTTTGTTTACAAACTCGCCCACCAATAACCGAGTCGCTGAATACAAGTTCCTAGGAGGAGTCAGTTTAGATATATAGAGAAATGTAGAAACCCGCCCTTCTCCAATCGTAAATTCTATACAAAAGAAACCAAGCAGAATTAACCCCATACAAAAGAACTATTTACGAAAAAGAAAGAACCTGGCAAAAACAATTTTGCGATGCGATGTACGAATAATTCACACTAAGAGGAGATACGGATTAATCTAAACTTAAAACAGCTAACAATAGGTGTTCAATAAAGTTAAAGAGTAAAGGGGTCCATTTGCACGGTAAATTTTTTACCTCCAGCGCCCTCTCCCCAGGTCCGCTTCCTTGCTCAAGGGGTTTGGGAAGGAAGTGAGAGTTTAACTGTCTCTTCGAGGTCTTTCATGACTTTTTGGAACGTCTTGTGTGTTTTTGTCCCTCCGTTATGTCTATTACAGTGAGCAGCCAGACTTTGGACGTTAGCTAAGAAGGAAAAAAGATCGTAGACTTCGTATTAATGCATATTGGAGCGGGTGTTGTATCCATATCGACTTTTCAGGCGCCATATTGTAAAATATGGTTGGAATGGAGGTGAGGGAGAGGGAGGGGGTAAATTTTGGATACCATCCCCTCCCCAATGGCTCGCCTGGAGTCTGCAAAGGAAGTGAAAGTTTTGCGCTCTTTTAGACTGTCCGTTCGCCGCCATCATGGTAAGCAATTAAACCTTTGATGTGAGTAGGGACGGAAAAGTGTTAAAATTATGAATAGCAGCGGGGGATATAACAGTTTCGAGGATTCTTCGAGCTTTTCAGGCAAGTACACATTGAATTTACATTTGGATTCTTGCAAAATCGCCCAATGACATGACTGCAACAGTGCAAGATTACGTAATTTTAAGCAAAAGTGAGATCGTGTTTAATTGTGATTACCTTGCGAGCAGTTGTGTTGGGGGTGAAATCTTCAATGTCTTGCCTTAAGACGATGGATCTTCTCGTCTTATTATGGGGGAAGATTTGACGAATTCGTCATCAAACATCCCACAGATGACTGAAGATATAGGGCAATTAAGTCAATTGTTAACTTATGGCGGCTCTCTTACTGGCTCTCAAGCAAGTTCTTCAAGGCCACCACTTTTCGGTATTGCAAGACGAAAAGGTGACGCTCTTGCGGAGATTATTCATGTGGAAATAACAGACAAAAATGTGAAGGGACCTCCTACGTACTAAGAACTAGTGCAGAAATATGTTTATCATCAAGGAAACCGCTAATTTGATTTACGGTCAGTCCAAGGCAAGAGATGCATTCAACGATTCATCTCTAAAGTTGGTGATCACGCTCGAACAAACACCGAAAAATTGAGCCATTCATTACACTTTGTTAGAAAGGGAATTGCCGCAACGATAAATGTTGATTAAAATAAAGATGCTGATGCTGTTTCGTACGCATTCATGTTTTATTCCTTTCAGTACTATTAATATATCATGTTGAGTGTTGAAGACATGTGCCCATTTATTATTGGCAGCCGGGAAAAAAAATGAGCCTTGGCAAAAGCCTCCAAATTCACGCTAAAAGCTGAAAATTAAAGCAGGGCCAAAAAAAATCTGGATCTGGGGAGAGGGCGCTAGAGACAAAAAAATTACCGTAAGAATGGACACCTCCCCCTCCCTCTTGGGTAGTTCTGTCAACGATTGGAGTGTTTTGGCCGAAAAACAAAAATTGAACATGGATTGCAATTTTCCCAAATTCAATTTTTAGACTTACGTCGAAAACAGAAAAAACTTAGACATGTCACAGACTGCAACATTGTCGGAGAAGCAAAATTGATGCTCATTTTCAATTTTTCTCTTCATTGTTGACAGGATTATAGTAAAAATATAAGTTATGTTTCAATATTCTACCAAAAGGAAAAAAAAGTCAAATATTTTCGAGTTGGCACTCGTATTTTTTATGATAAAATATAACGAGAATAAGAAAATTGACATTAATTTTCATTTTTTTTTTATTTTAAACGAAAATTGAATGGACGAATGACACACGGACCCACCATCTGCACACACATTGCATATATTCAGATGGTCAGATGACAACTGAATTATGGCCGTCCCTATCACTGAGAAAAAGTTCTTGGCTTTAAGAAATGCATGATGTATTAACTTCAAATCATACAAAGGCTCAATTTCTGAATGTTGGAGTTATCTATCTTAAAGTGGGGTTTGGGGTGGGGTTTGAACTCAATGGCATATAAAAAAGTCTATTTTTAGTCCTATAAATACATATACATATATATATACATATTCATATCAAATAAAATATTAGAAAAAATACAGCTGGTTCCAGTCGTTTACGATTATCATATACGGAAAGAGCTTTTACCCGCACAAATTCATCTTCAGCGTCTACGCACCTTTTTCTGTTTTTATTTATTTCTCGATTCTACCGGATACTGTTTCACAAATTGAATGATAAAGCAGCCTACCATTTGCCCAGAAACAGGCATTGGCTCTTTGATCTTGTCCAACTTTTGGCTCATCACGAACTTTTCACTCCAACTTTCAATTTCGTTATACAACGTCCGGTGAGTCGTTTTCTACTAATAAAAAAGGTCGTTTCGTATGACGGTTTATTTTTGACTAAGTAATAATAAGTGCGCATAACTTTCAGTCTGACCTCGTTTTATACGACAGCTTATGATTAATTGCACCATCATTCTTTAGGTGGTATATTAACAAGACTCACAGCAAAACCATAAGGTAAGTTTATGCATTTTTTCTAACAATTTTGTGTTCAAATGATGATTTCTTTAGCATTTTTCTACCTAGTAAAATAATGTTTGAATAAAGAAAAGGAAATAAATAGAATATTTATTTCGATCGTGGTATTGTTCACAGCGAAGACGAAGACCTATATGCCAAAAAGTTATTTTTCAAAAGATTTTCGGATTTTCGAAAATTTTGTCGTTCAACAAAATTGTATGATACAAGACGTTTTATCATCAGGTTATGATTTATACGTGATTCATAATCGCCGAATTGTTTTGAGACAGAGGTGGTGTGATCGTAGCTTTTTGGTGGAAAGCGTTGGTGGCCATTTAAGTCTTGAATTTTTGCCAACGTTTATTCATAATTGTTTCCAGAGTTTTAAACAAAGCTGACTTTAATTTGAGGCAATCTTAGTATTTTGTACCTTTATTAATCGCTCATGGAAAGCATTTGTATGAAATATTATGTTGATGCAAAACGGGTTTATTAAAATTTCCTCCATTGGTAGACAGAGAGATCGAACTCATCATTTGTTACGTCAGGGGGAGTCAAAATCTGCTGAAAATGATGCACCTGTTCTATTCTCCGCCAGCTAAACATTAGGGTACATTTGATCGCTTGCATTGGGATGAATTTTTTAGACTGGTGACTAATAATTAACGTTACATGTAAAGACTGGGATCTTTTTTACAAAAATTTGTCGCGGGTAGGAAAAAATGGACACATTGTGCTTTACGTTGTGACATATCCAATTTTAATAATACTCTAGCGAAGTCTGTCAAGTTCACCCACAAATTTGGGAATGTCATTTTTAGTCGCTATCATTCACATATCGAAAAGGAAAAAAAATAAAATGGAAAATGAGATAAGCTAGTAGCCTATTTATAAGAAAAAAATTGGCTTTTCATGCTATCGATGAACTATTTGGAAAATGTACAAAAATGATTCTTTCAACTCCCATTGTTATCTCGTTAATACAGTCGCCAAACGGAAGCACGCATATGATAGATAAAAACTAGACTGGTCAACTTTTTGCTTATGGTAAAAACATGTGTACCGCCCTCTCAATTTCAGATGACACGGTAAATACTTATTCGTCCGTTAATAAGTAAACATGCGGTTAATCTTCCACAAACTCCTTCCACGATGTATAAATTTCGTCAATCGTGACTTTTGCCTAGTATCGTGATATAATCAATCCAACGTTAATATGAAATATTAAAGCTGCTTGCATAATTTTGATTCTGCCGTTCGCCTGTTTGGACCTCACATTTGGCGATTTCGTTCTTAAGCTTTGGATGTATAGATAAAAGCCGTAAAAGAAACAAAATTTCATACAAAGAAAGTTGAAACACCCGTTCAGGAAAACGCTCGGTTGGCAAGTCCGGCAATGAATAATAATCACAGTGATAAGCAAACTCGGAGAGAGCTGCAACTTGTATTAAAATGCTGCTTAGAAACGAAGCGATTATACTTAATCGAGCTAAAACGAAGACATTGTCTAAACTTTATCCAATTTGCATTTGGTGATGTTACTACCACGAATGTTCAATTGTATACTGCGCCATCGTCAAGTGAATCATTTTCGTTCTCTAAAGTTAGTTTACAAATGCACATTGTCTGTTGGTCGCATCTCGATGACAATCGCATCTATTCAGTGTCAACTCAATCTTCTAAAAACAAGAGTTCTTAGGCACTTGTCCGCTTTCAGGACCAGTTTCGCGGCCGGATATCTCTCTGTCAACAAGTATATTTTGGCCAGTGAAGTTACATTTTCCATGAGCCGATTAACCTAACCTAGATGTCTCTTCCTTCAGGGTTAGTAGAAAATAACATAAAATAACATAAAATATGACCGAACTCACCTATCTTAAACATATGCTACATGTGAGCTATACACTTTGTCATTAAACAAAAGCGGTTAATATGATGCCAAAGGAAACAGCGAATAAGAATTAGAAGAAAAATGATCAATAAGAAGAACAACACTGATAATGATAATGACAAAAATATAAATTATTGTGATGACAATAGTAATGGTATTATCTGAATTGAAAAGAAACCAAGAAGGATGTCGTTGTAAAATTATAAAATGTTACGAAGGATTCTTGAGAAAGTACTGTTTTAGATCTGTAAATGTTAAACTACAAGAAATTTTGAATTTTTTTCAAATTAATCCTGGTGTGATTGTTCGTTATTTTCGTTCATTACAAGAGTACATGGTTTCCTTTGGTAGGCTGCCTTACTTATTTAAGTTCACAACCCCAAAAGTAGTTTCACCCTTTGTATCAATGTATCGGCGATACATTGATACAAAGTTCTTGTCAAACCGAACAATCCATTTTTTAATGATAAGCACTGATGTATAGTAACTTCACTTTCTCATCGCAAGGAGGTCTTTATAACACGGAAAATTCATTTTCTTTTTGAAGTAGGTTGCATTTCCTTGCCAACGAAAAAGTAAGGTCTAATTTTTTTTGGTAAATTTACGAGCAATTTCAATGCTGTTCATTTTAGATTTTGTTTGTCACTATTGGCAATTTCAAAAAAGTAGGAAAACAAAAGATGTCATTTAGTTACTGAGTAGTTAAGAGACCAAATTAAAACTACATGTATTCGGTGAAAAGTATAATTTTTTACGAATCATGTACTCGGGTTAAAACGAGAGTATGCGGATAAGTGAAAGAAAACAATGAAATCCTATTCCTTTTGAGCGGAAGTTTTGTGTAAAATCGCCAAATTTGTAGAGTAGGTAAATGAAGATACAATTAGTTAATGACAACCTAATTTGACTTATGGCCCTCAGTATCGTACGTTCTTCTAGAAAATAACTTATTTAATTTTGAATAAACAATCCCATTTGCAGGCCTCTTCAAACATTCAAACAAAAAATTTGTCAACGTGTCATGATGATGGGTAACTTTTGTCTTCGAGAAGCGTCAACGTGTTTGGCACTATTAACTCTTACCAGCACTTTATGGAATCTCCCATTGGTCAGAGGTGAAACATGCAATTCCAATTTGAAGAGTAAGTAGTGTTAACTTCTTTTAAACGTCCTGGTCAAAGAGCATGTATATGCCTATGTTTTTCTTGTATGCGCATTAAATGAATGCGTGTATGTACAGAAAGTGTAAAATGGCTACCAAAAAAACAGCTCTCTGTCAGAGGATCCAAAGGTATCTTCATCAAAATGTTTGGCGTGTGTAGATAAGAAAGGACGAAGATAAACTCTTGACTGATCCAGCGTTTAAATAGACGACGTCTCGGCCTTGAGCCTTCTTCGGGTGGAACATAAAAATTAAAAATTAACACTAAAAAGCTGCATTCAAAATTAAAAATTAATATTAAAAAGCTGCTTTAAAACTCTTGATCGGTCAAGGGTTTGTCACTTACACACACTCGGGTGGAACATAAAAATTAAAAATTAACATTAAAAAGCTACTTTAAAACTCTTGATCGGTCAAGAGTTTGTCACTAACACTTGCTAAATTTGTAAGATAGATTTATTGACAATCTTTCTCATATACAAAGAGATTGTGCATTATTCATTTTCTTTTATTATTATTCAATCTCTCCAACTTAGTCAGACCTGTTGTGGACATCTCTTCAAGTTCAGAAAACAGCACATTACCCATTGGTGCCTCCATTACCCTGAATTGTACAGCGGAGCCCAGAATAGAAGATGCAGTGTATCTGGATAGATATGTCGATTATATCGAGTGGTACGATCCACAGAATAACAAAGTTGTAGCTAAGTGCAAGCAGCCTTCAAAAAGAAGAAAAAAACGTTTAAGCTGCCCATTAGTGCTTAAAAATCTGGCAGTTGACAAATTTGGCCGCTACACCTGCCAAGCCGGCAACAGATACAAAAAACACTGCGCAAGGAAATCATTTGAAATAATGATTCGAGGTAAGCAAACCAGGCTTATCATACCCATAATAAACAATTATTCCACTCGTGGTTGTTGGATAAGCGATGATAGATGGCCAACGAGGCTCATAATCATCTGATATCCAACAAGTGTGAATGGAATAATTTTCTGTACGTTGTGAATGAAAGGACAGGTTTTGCATCGTGAGCGAGCGTATTTGGAAGTTTTAGGTTGGTCATTGGTTTAAAATGAACTTCTGACCAAAAATTTGCCCATGTTTTTGTCGCGTTTGAATGAAATTAATGGAGGTTACGAAAAGATAGTATCAGTCTCTGAATCGTTTTGAAGTAAGTTAAAGTTTTAAGAATGATAGATCTAACTGTGCGGTTGCTAAGGTGAAATGTGAGAGTGAATGGAATGCAATCAATATTTTCCTTCTGAGCCGTTTGTAGTGCTGTCTGTAGATCAATTTGTTGGGCGCGTTGGAGGCCTGCTTGAACGATAGAAACAGGGTAGCCACGTTTATCGAAAAAAATGGCACATTGCCTCTGATTTTTCGGAAAAATCAGAGTCGTAACAACATAAACGACGAAGTCTGAGAAACTGTGAAAAGGGACTGGCCGTTTTATTGACAAAAAAATTGGTGTTCGATAAAACTTACGAAAAGATTGGCGTGGCTGGGTCTCATTTTAGTACCCATGACCACAGCATTAGTTTGTTTGTAGTAGTTGTACTAGAAAGAATATATCGGTGAAACAGGTGGACGACTAGCCGACCCGGATATCGAGAACGCCTTCCGGATTATGATTATAAAAGTTTAATGAAATTGCTATTTTTGAAACCTCGTATTGGGCTGACTCACCAGTCCAAACCGTTTTTTAATCAGAGCACAGGAAGTCGGTTTTTCGGAGCGTATTTTTTGATCTTTTACTGTCCGTCATTAATGAAGCACGTTCCAACCGCTTAGGAAGGGGCTTGGAATCGAGTAAGCGGAAATGACGTCAAATTCTCGACTCGAAATACACACTTTGGCTAATTTCAATAGAGCCGCTTGCAAGTAAAAACCCTACAAACTTGCAGTTCAGGCGGAATCCTGAGGGAAATGGTTGGCTGGCGGTGTGTCGTCGAAGGATGCAGCAATACTCCTGATCAAGAAGTTGGATTTTTTTAGTGCACGCTAGTCCTAAAAACAAGAGTGACCGCGACAAATGTGTAAGATTCGTGAGAACGCATCGAGCCAATTTCAGTCCTCTGGGACGACAAAGATTGCTTCGAAAGGGGCCATTATGTAGAGGGTTCTCGACGTACGCCTCGTTCAGGCTCTGTATCAACTATTTGGCTGCAAAAAACCGCCCAGGAGCCTCCTTCTTCGAGATCTGAGCGAAAACGTAAGAGGGTAAGTAGACACGTGCTTCTTGTTTGCAAGTATACTTCACCATTTATATAGTTATATTTCAAAATTTACGACACTTTCTTATTTAGGAGGTCAGCGACTTACTTTCCTTCATTGGGACCAAGACATTGTCTGTTGATAAAGCAGAACTGGGAGATCATTTGAAATATGCTTCTGTAAGTATCATAGATGAGGACGATTGCAGACTCCAAGTAAGGCTCTAGATCTAGCGAGGATCATTTTGAATTCATGTCACTGAATAATATTTGTATTTTATATACAAGTACGTGCAAACTATTTCTTAACTACATCTGTCTCTTTAGAATTTCATGCACAGTTACACTCCTCCGATGGCTGGCCCTTCGCATCTGCTGTTGGTGGTGACATTGTAAGTTTTCCTTGTGTTAAGAGATGAAAATTATATTGAACAATACTGAGAAAGCATTTTGGCTTGCAGAATGACTCAAATTCCCGGGTAGCTGCTTCAGATGCTTCAAAGAGTTTCTTGCCTATGGTGACTAGTACACCAAACATGGTATTTACAGTATAGATGTTACCAGCCGAAGCTTTTCCTTTGAAAAAAAAAATTTGTATCCTGCTATCAAGCTTACATATTCTGCCTCTGATAACATTCATACTTCCCTAACAAGTAGATTTCTTACCTACTGGCTGAATAATTTCAGCTTTATGCTTGCTCAAAAACAATATCCTCTTTAACGAAATAAAACAAATTTTTGTTTGCAGAATGTTACTGGTGAACAGATACATGGACCTACCTTGAAAAGTTTAACAGATGAAAGCTGTCAGAGGGATCTGATGGAGACTAATACTCCCAAAAAGGTGTCTTTTTAATAGAGATCTTAGAAGATAAACCCGTGTTATTTTTGGTATTAACATCTCTTCTATCTGTTACTGTCATTCTTATCAGGTACCTGATGTGGAGGATATCACTTCGGAGACAACACCTTATTCTAGCTGTCCTGAGCTTGAAAGTTTGAAGAAAGAGAGGAAAAAGTTAAAGAGAAGGGAAAAGTCAGAGACCTAAATGTTAAGATAGGTCACTTGAAGGATACATTGCAGAAAAATTAGGAGGACTGGGCAATGCCATTTAAGGAACTTGAGAACCAACAGCCAGCTCTAGTGACATCAGGTGTGTTAATTATTACCTTCTCGTGGTTATAGAGTTGTGCAGTCTCCTGTTAACAGAGGCTATCGGTGACTACTTTCAAAACATTTGAAATTTACGTTATCAAATTAGTTGATAATACTTAATTACCCTGTTATACCCTCCCACCACCGCAGCACCACTCTCAGTTTCTTTAGAAACTCACCTCCTTTATTCATATGCCTGACGTACTTCCCTCTGAGCACGAGAATATGGTCATAAATGGGTATACGTAAGTCTCAAAGCAATTTATCTTGTCTGGCGCTATGGTGGGAAAGACGGAAACATGACAGATGTAGCTGTAAAGAAGCTATAAGGTAGGTACACGAAATCGAAATGGCTTCTTGCTAATTCCTAAGTAAAGCCTTTCCTGAGCGGTATACCTCTAAACTAATTTTTCTTTCGGTGGTAAACATCCATAAAGTCTACTACTGTCTCCTCTGCACGCTTTCTGCAGCCTCAATCAAGCCACTTTTTTCCATACATAATTTTGATACGATAAGCGACCTATGTAAAATGAAGCAATTTAAGAAGTTATTCCCTTCTTTTTTCTCTGTCATTAAAGGCCCTAGTGCCATTGCCAAAGAAACCTTGCTTAATGAGATAAGGACCTTAAAGCAAGCTGGAAAACATCCTAATATTGTCACTTTGATTGGCACAAGGATAGAGGGCGGTAAGTCAGTTTTCGACGATGCAACGTCTTAGAAATATGCATGTTTACTTGGTGATTGACAGTAACAAGGTAATGTTCAGCCGTCTGTAATGTCAGTTAGAATAGTGCAGGTACTGAACTTATGATTAAAGAAAGATAAGAACATTTCGCGCTGAGCTAAGTTCAGGGAAGTTCATATGGAATTTTTTCCTTTACTTTTGGCCACCGACTAAACCTAAAATACCAACGAATCACCTTTTGATCAACTCAAGGTGCTGATAATTCGTTCTCTTGTCAACTCTTATGTGTTCGCTCAACTCTCGCAAGGAAACGTTCTTGTGGTCACTGAATTGATTCATTGTGGCAGTCTTGAAAATCATTTCAGGGCGCTAGGGGAAAGGAACAATTATCATAATGTCTGCTGTAAGCTGAATGACCGGCAGCTGGTCACAATTGCATTTCAGATCGCCATGGGAATGCAGCACTTAGAGGAGAGAAAGGTAAGATCCGCTAGCAATGTGTAGAAATAAATGTAAAGGCAAATTTGCCAACCTTCCATTAGAGATCACTACTCTCAAAAGATTACAAACAGGTTATGATCTCTTGCTGCACTAAATATAACGCGGGCAGTTCGAGGTTTTAAAGTTCCTTAAGGATACATTCAGGATCTTTTGCATTTTGTTATAGGCCACCCAATCATTGGCGAGCCTCTGTTAAGAAAAATATGTATAAATGCGGGCAATCCCAGCTTGTAAATTGGCTTCAGGACACATTGAGGATCCTTCGCACTTTCGTATAGGCCACTCAATTAGTGAGCGCCTCTAAGCAAAAAAAATATACATTGTCTTCTCTTACAGTTTTTCCATTGCGACCTAGCAGCGAGGAATATTTTTAGTCGATGCCAACGTGGTGGCTAAAGTTGGAGACTTTGGATTAGCCAGGGACATATCCGTTGCTGGATTTGCACAATAACCTCCAGGGTAGGCACGCTTTGCAATCAAAGTCAATGACTAAACAGAAAAATTAAACAAACACGGAAACACTTAAATTGATGCTCTTCCTTGGTACAATCGAGCAGAAGAAATTAATTTCTTCTAATGATATAATTTACGATGAAACTCTCATCGAGCTGTGTATCATGTGACACGTTTACTTAATAATCATAAAAATTACAATTTCTTTCGAATGTGATTGATGGATTAGGCGCTTTATATTTCACAAATTTTTCCGTTGATGTATAATCGGAAAGTTGGATGTAACTGGAGACCTGTAATCGAACAGTTAAAGCAGCCAATCCTACCATCCCACTCAGCTAAATCCACCAAACGCAGAATTGATTACAATAACTACAGCGACAACCACTTACCCAACCATCAGGGGAGTTTCGTGACAGACAAATCGGACTCCCACTTTGTAGCCGTCCGATTTTTAAATCACTCGTATGATTACAGACCGAATTGGACTCCACTCGGACTTATTATCATTATTAACTACGGGTTAGTTTCTAAACTTATAATAATGTTAATAACAATAATAACAACGGCCATGGTTATTATTACTCTGGATTTTACTAGAAATTAATAATAATTACAAACTATCGTATATCTTAACGTCAGAAAGAACTCGCTTACTATTAATGAATGCATCCTTCTGTTTCATAGGTCATCCGCTTCCCAGTTTCAAAGGCATTGCCAGCACCACAAAAAGTAGCTTGCTCATATGAATCTATCTTTTCAACAGGGCAAGGTTTCGTGCAGATGGTCGTCGTTAAAATCTCTACGAGATCTGCATTTTACATCCATGAGTGATGTGTAAGTTTCATTTTGTATTTAATACTGTCAGATCTCTGTCTCTTGACTTCGATTCGGAAGTATTGCCTAGTGGAAAGGATTTCCAAATAAAAAAAAAACCTCTGCCTTACGCTCTAGTATATCCCTTGGAGCATTATTATAGTTACACCTGGGCTTCCCTTTACGTTGTTTGTTCGTCTTCGTGTACATGCCTGTTGTATCTATACCTATCTGCATTTTTGGACACACCTTGAGAACTTATCATGACTTAAGAAATTCCTTCCTTCAAATCAAGCATCATATGCACATATCACCAGATTGAAATTAATACCAGAGGCAAGGTCCACATAAAAGGGAAGACTCAACGTCTTGAGTGATGTAAATATCCATTAAACACTAAAAGAATACAAGGAGACTCGATCTTTAATCAATTCAGCGCTAATCATTCGAACTCCTTATTCTTTGAAGTTATTAACCCTTTCACTCCCAAGATCTCATTGTTAATTCTCCTTACTATCTGCCATACTATTCTTTAGATTTTATTCGGATAATTTGATATGGGTTCAACTAATTATCTCCTTATTAATATTTTTTTCATCTCATCACTTGCCTGCTTGATATTGTATTGATATTGTAAGGAGAAATTCTGTCTTGGTCACTTATGGGATTTAAATTTGGTATCGTTCTACGGGAAATCACCACTTATGGTAAGTGCGATGTGTTATTAGCTATGTGCGACTTAAAACGACATCCTAAGAACTGCGAATCATGTTCTCGTCATGAGGCCCCAATCCATAATGCAGCCCAAAGTTAGCAAGGCTCTTCTGTAAAGCTAACCATATAGACACAAGCATCTTCTTGTAAATGATTATTGTCAGTCAGACGAAACTGAACAAGATGAGAAGACCGCTTCCAGGTATAGGTTGTGCTCGTGCCAAACATTTTATACGTGATAAATCTTATTTGTCACATTACTGCACTTAATTTTATCGATCTAAATCAGACACATAAAATCTTCGCAAGTCTCTATTTATTTACAAAGTTATTGCTGAATTATTGTCTTAAATGATATTCTTTGAAAATTGAAACGATTAAAGCATATTTTCTTTCTGCCAAACAGGTGAGTTGCCATACCCTGACATCACAGGGCCAATTGCCTTAGTAAGTCAACTTGCTTCGGGATACCGGATGCCTCGTCCCGACCTATGTTCAGAAGAACTGTAAGCTCTAAAGTCTTAAATAACGCCAGTAAAACTAAATTAAATCATTTAATATGAAGACGGCTTCAAATAATGGATGTTTACTTCCCGGATTCTTTTAAATTAATTGAAAAGTGTTTTACTCTTCGAGCAAAGTCTCGCAAGATCCGCTGACACAATTTTCCTCGTTGATCAAAACGATGCATTGAATCAGTCGTGATGATTTAAAACAATTTGTACATCAAATCAAATGTCACATTCGGCCAATAAGTGATCTTTCCGATGATCATTGTCATGAGTTCAAAATCACCTCTTTGCACCCCTCTTCACGCTTGGTATGGTCAATTCAGATGCTGAGAGTATCAGCTGCGAGACAATGTTAGCTAATACTGTATTGAATTCTTAGATATGAGCTCCTGAGTTCTTGTTGAAAAGAAAATCCTTTGAGGAGTCCAACCTTTTCGCAGATCACCCAACAGCTGAAGAATTTTTTGCGAGAAGTGAAGGTAATTAATGGCTGTATTTAGAAGCTTTCTATTTCTTCCCGTCCTTTCGCTCTTCTCAAAATTATATCTGCCCTCTTCTTACTACTTCCATTTATTCATCTTTGCTTCCCTTCACCTTTCCATGGATACCTCTGTCATTCTGTCAGTCCTTCTGATAAACCTCTTATCTCCAACTGCAGCTATCGATCCATCCATTCGTACACATAGTCATCCATCCACTTGCTTTTCCGTCTATCTATATGACCTTAGCTTCTTTTCGTTCCTTCTTTTGCATGTTCCTGAGTTCATTCTTTGCTTAGATTTAATTCTTTTACAGTACAACAGTTATTTATATCGTTATTCTTATTTTTTGTGACTAATTTATTCTAATGATTTATTCTGGAGGACATATACAAACATCACAGAGGTCAACGATGGAGAAGCTTGACAATGACACCCTGACGCTGAAGAAAACACCTCATTTTATTTGATTAATAATATAGGAAGATAACTGCGAGATCTCAAATAAGCACATCTATGTATAAGGTCTGATAGTCATGATTAAAGCAATTTTTTCTGAACCAGGTACCGACTAGACTCAAAATTTAGAGTCAATTTGTTTTCCCTTGTGGAGGATAGTTTTCCTCACAATAGATACTGCAAATCAAAGCAAAGAATAAAACGGTGCATCCTGTATTACTTACAACGCTTTAGTGGCTGAGAAAAATCATTGCTATCAGGTAAATAGACTAGACTAACGTGGATTGCATTTTCTCAGAAAAAAATATTAGCACTTATCTGATTGCAACAGGTCTTCCATATTAGCGCTACCGCAAGAGTATTTTCTTCGCTGGCAGGTAGACTACTCTTCTTCTGTGCTCTGATCGCTTTCAGCGTGCTTTAAAACAGAATAGAACACAGTTAAGGCTTCTTTATTTGTTAAATAAAGAGATGAACACCTCATTATTAGCGCTGCAGGACAGGCGTTTCTCAGCCCGCGGAAAGATATGAAATGAGCAAGGGAGAGATTTGTCGGGGATCTAGGACTAATTATCAGTGCAACACCTTGGCAGACCTCCAGCCGGCTCGCGTTGCTCGCGTTGAACCGAAGCGCCTAAAATGAGGACCAGCGCGAAGGCTAATCGGTCACAACAGTGACGTATCTCCTGGGAAAGGCTTACTCAGCTTTGGGCGATGCAACAATAACTGCATCTCGACAATCATCAATCATTACAGGAAGGCTGGCCATTATTGCAACAAGCAAAGTTTAGAGCTAGTAGTGTTTTCATTCCCTATAGAAAAAACAGATTTCATATGTTAGTTTTTCTGCCGTTTTGTGGCTTCTTATTTTTTTTTCAAATTTTTTTAAAAAATTTTTGTCTCAGTGCGATCAAATCTATCATGATGGAAATAAGTTAAATTTAGTGAAACCGAAACCATCAAATTTTCTCTTTGGCGGACAAAAAAGATGTGTTTTGATCTTTTATCATTGTAAAACAACCTTTTCTCTAAATAAATCCATTGCTGAAAGCTACTGAAGCGCTTTACCGGGTCTTAAATATGTTAAGAAGAAGTTAGACACCACTATTTCGGGCCAAGATTTAATGGTAGAGGTTGATGCTTTTCGAAGTACTCCCAGAAGTCTTTTTGTCAAAAGCTGTTATTCGAACCTTACCTCTAGTGATTGGCGATACAACTATCACAGAAGATTACAATCAAGAGTTCACAAGAGAGCATTCGAGAGGTGTCTTCGCGTAAAGTGTTAAGAAAAATAAAAAAAGCTTACCAAGATAAGTTTTCGTGGTTTCGAACCTGGTTAGTTAACGAGTGACAGCCAGACAAGATTATAACGTAGATGTGAAATACCAACGAACATAATTGCTAATCTGAACAGATGAACACAACAGCCGATTCTATTTTGGCCTTTTCTACTGCCTACTGCCAAGCAGTGATTGGCGGAGACTCATCTCATTTTAGTTGTCATCTTTAAATTGGACAACATCTGATCATATCATCACCAGCTACGGCTAAATCGCCTACATTAAAACATCTCGCTCCATTTTCGCCCCTAAGTTTATATCATCAGTGATTAGCGAGGGTTATCGCATACTATTCCAGCAATTAATGCCCTGGAATGTCTCTAAAAACAATAATTCAGGCTTAAACCATTCAGAATTGTAGTAGAATCAGTTTTGGAGCTCTTGCACTCGGGCATGGTAGTAGAAATCGCGAATCCCCAGTACGTCATAAACCGTTTGACTGTGTCCATTCAACCCAATGGGAAAAGGAGGTTAATTCTGGATCTTCGCTACGTCAATAAATTTCTAATTAAGCAAAAATTAAGTATGAAGATTGGAAAGTTGCATTATCTTACTTTCAGTAGGGGCCTACATGATCTCGTTCGACCTTAAGAGTGGCTGCCACCATATAGCCATTCACCTGCACCATCAGGCGTTCTTGGGATTTGTATGGAAATTGCCGGGTGCTTTATCATTTGGGTTTAAATGTCTCAAACCACTAGAGAAATGCTGGAAGGTTAACAGGGTCAATATTGCTTTATTTCTTAATGATGGTTGGCTTATCGATATTGATCGAAACTCCTGCGCAGTCTAGCTGCAAATGTTAGGTCCGATTTAAAGAGAGCTGGGTTTGTTACTAATGACGAGAAATCGCAGTGGTGTTCGACCCAAATTATTGAATGGTTGGGTATTTTATGGAATGCTGTAAATGGTATGATTCGTATTTGTATGATTCGTATGAATCTGTAGATAGGATCTTCCTTAAAGATTATCTCGTCTCGGCACGGGAATTATCTTCCCTCGCGGGTAAAATTATTTCCGCTGGGGCAGTATTTGGTAACATTTCCCGAATTATGACTAGGTACTGTTCTATATCGGTTGTGTCCTCTCATCTGGATTTCATCTGGATCAATGTTGTGTCAGGGAACTTAATTTTTGGGAAGAGAATTTGACACGATTGAACTTGAAGTCAGTTGTGGATTGTCCGTCTAAAACATCTAATTACTTAGTTTATTCTGATGCTAGCCCCACAGGGTGTGGTGCCTACTTAGATGTCAACGGTGAACAATTACTGTCATATGTTATGGGATGTAGATGATTGTGGTAAAAGTTCCACGTGGAGGGAACTGTCAGCTTTTTTGTTCGCCCTGCATTCGTTTTTGCCTCTCCTTATAGGCTCTTACATGAATTGGTTTTCTGATAGTTAGAATTCTTGTAAAATTATACAAGTGGAAAGCATGAGGAGCGATTTGCGCTAAAATCGCCATGGAGATTTTTCAGTTTTTTGTTGATGATAACTTTGCGCTGGAAGTCCAGTGGATTCCTCGTTCTGAAATTGACAGAGCGGATTATATAAGTCGCTTTATTGATGTAGACGATTGACAAATTTCAGCTTGCTTTGCGTCTCTAGATACCAGCTAGGGGATTCACACTGTAGATTGCTTTGCTAGTTTTTATAAAAAGAAGATCAGAGCGAGTTACTATCTATAAGTTTCCAAGACCACAACCGCTATAGTTGTACCCTTTTGGCCATCATCGTATTTTTGGCCAATTATCACCAGGACATTTGCCAGTTCCATAGAGGATTATAGGTGGTTCAACGCTAAGGATGCATTAGAGCATGGGTGGAACACGAACTCGTTTTTGGGTAGCGGCGGATTCACTGGACTAGTTTTAGCTCTTCGAATGAAGTTCTCTTCTCCCTCTCATGCTTTTAGGTAATTTCATGAGTATTGCTCAGTTAATTGTCTTCGTGTTGAGCAGGGAAAAGAGACATGAGACGCTTGTCATTGAGTGTATACAGTGAAAGGGGGCGCTGGCCTGAGTTGAAGATGGAACAGTTTTTGAAGGCACCGGCGCTTGCCTGCAGCCCTTATGGCGGTCAATTTGAAACGAGAACGGGAGGTTTAGCGTGCATCGTCTATTACCATAGCGTTTTTCTCGCTGCAGATGTTTAATGTGGATGGCCATTGGAATCATCTTCCGGCTAGGATAAGGCCAGACTTGAAAGACCTTCTTTTGATGCTATTGAAACCTAAGGCGGAGTCTACATTGAAGAGATACAAGAAAGAGATTCTTAGGTTTCTTAAATGGTGTAATTTGTCCAATGCTGGGCCGGTGCCTCCTTTCTCTGTCTCTCTCGCTGTTTCCTATCTTAAAAAAGTTTACAAAAGTTCAAACTCTTATGCCACATTATTGTTGTCTCACGCCAATCTAAAGAGGTTTCATTCTTTCTTTCCGTGTAACGACAACAGTCCACTCAATAGTTAAATTTGGTCATAATTTGCTGGAAGCGGTTAAGCGTTGCAAGCCAGTTACTGTTAAGAAGGTACCTATGCCTGCCGATGTTATTAGAAGTATAATTAATAAGTATGCTGGTCCATCAGCTAATTTAAAGGATTTACGTTTAGCTTGTATTTGCTCGATAGGTCTTGCAGGGTTTTTTCGTTATGATGAGCTGAGCAACATTGCTCCCGCACATTTAAAGTTTTGTCCTGAGTACTTGAGGGTGTTTTTTCCCAAGGCGAAGAATGATTTTACCGGGAAGGAAATTATGTTTATGTCAAGAGGCTAGATTACAATTTTTGTCCCGTGGCACTTTTAGAAAGGTATATTTTAATGGGTGATATTAATCTGTCCGGCTCCGTTGCACTCTTTAGGCCAGTAAGACTGTCTAAATCTACTAATGAGTACAAGTTGTATGGAGGGAAGTTATCGTACACTAGGTGTAGGGAAATCTTTAAGGATTGCCTTAAAGAACTCGGTTTAGATCACAAAATGTATGGCCTCCATAGTTTAAGATCCGGAGGTGCTAACTCTGCTGTTAGTAACAATAATAATCTATAAGGGTAGTTGAACTTAATGGACGCTGAAAGTCGGATACTGCCAAAAATATGTATATCTTAGAAGACGTCTCTGAGCGTTTACAAATTAGTAGTCGGATAGGCTTATAGAAGCCTTCATTAACTGTATCTTTCCTAACGAGTAGTATGATTTAGAGCGTAAGTATACTTTTTGGTGGAAAGCGTTGGTTGCCAATTTTATCTTCAACATAATATTCGGACGTCTTGAATTTTTGTTAATGTTTATTCGTAATTGTTTCCTTAATCTACAAAAGTCAGAGTTTTAAACAGAGCTAGCTTTAATTTGAGGCAATCTTCGTATTTTTTATATTTATTAAGCGCTCATGGAAAATATTTGTATGAAGTATTCAGTTGATGAAATATGAAATTATGTTGATAAAATACTAAATTTCCTCCATTCGTAGACAGGAGGATCGATCTCATAATTTTTTTTGTCAAGGGAAGTCTAATAGCGGTATGAATATGAGCTGAATAATAACATTGTATCTGTTTTGTTCTCCGCCCACTAATAATTAGGGTACATTTGATCGCTTGCATTGGGATGAATTTTTTTCGTCTAGTGACTTTGCATGGAAAAGATGGATAATAGCCTATTTATAGCAAACAAATAATTACATTTCTACCTGTGAAGCATGCCTTTACTCGGTCAGTATTTTCCTATCTCTGCCCACGGGCAACGGTAACGCTTTCGTGAGTCGCCGAGTACATCCCTTCATTCGTTGCTATTTTCATAAATATATCCCGTTTTACCGGCTGGGCAGTATTTTTAAGCAAAGAAGTTGGTCACTACCTCAAGCCGATAAATAACTTATTAATCCTCTCTTTTCTCTCTCTCAAGTCACTTTGGTCGACTGAAAAATTTTCGTTTCGGAATGACTTTTTTGTATAAGCAATAATGCCATTAATTCGGTTGACAGGCGGCCTAAAAACCGTCTGCAATTAATTTTAATCCTTCACAAAAAGTACCTAGAGAGTTAAAACATAAGATATTTGGCTACAGTTGATTTTATATGAAAATGCTGCCCTCGGCCTACGGATCAAGATCTCGGTCACAGTTTTTCACCATACGGACCTCCCAGCCGGCAAATAACATATATATAGTCAACAACACGCTTCTGCGAATTCATGAAAAGAAATAGGAACCTCGTTCAGAAGTTTTTTGATCTACACATCACAGAGGGTGCGAGGAAAGACTTACGATCACGCTGGTCAGGTGTTTGAGTGTCAAAACAAACTCCACCAGAGGTTCAACAGCCCGTTCCCCGGACCCCACCCCCCCCCCTCCCCCCAAAGCTCTGCTAGTATTTTGGCCGAGTTTCTCCCACAAGTACGTATCACTTTCAATAAGGACTAATCGTGCTAGGTGAGAAGAGACTGTTTTACGGCTTGCCGAAAACATGCGCTAGGGGGGGGGGGTATATCACAGTTGTATGGTTTGACGCTAGAATGATGAAAGTTGTTTTCATAATTGAAACTATGCAATTGCTTTGAGACTAGCAGCTATCTCCAGTTTCTGATTCTTTTATATTTTAATCAGAAATGTTACACACTGAAAAAGGTGATAGGGGATTATTTCTGTGGATCTTTATTACTGCAAAACAACGAAAAACTTATTTACAATGTACTTCAATGTACCACCGAGTTCAATAAAAGTAGAAGCGTATATCGTATTGTGAAACAAAACCGTTTGGAACTAGAACATCAACAATTGATAAAGTTCAGAGGAGCATTGGCAAATGCAAATTTAAAACTTTGGTTTGAAAGGGTAGAACACAACTATTGAAAGCTTCTCTAAGTGTTCAAACAGTAACATGATACACAACTACCTTTGTGATATTGTAAAAATTGTAATATAACATCATCAGGAAGAACCTGGGTTTGACATATAAGGGATACTATAGCAAAAAAACAGCAACAACAGCAATAGCAACAACATAAAAGGAAAGATAAAAGATGAGACAATTCATAACATAATTCTTTTTGTGTCAATTTGCAGATGCTCCCCAGAGCACGTGGCATTCCAGGCGGGCGAGCGAATCTCAGTCGGAAGACTATGGAAAATATCAATGCATTGCAAACAATAGTATTGGAAAAAACCAATCAGGAGTGGCTATCTCAAACATAGGTTAGATTTTTTTTTTTTAATGGAAGAGAAAAAAAAAACCGCAGGGTAAGTGTGGTTCTTTTTAACTACAAGTACTGTTGCTAATAACAACCTGAGATCGTTGCAAGTCCAAAGAATTAAAAAAGAAAAAATTTCATCGTTCTCATTACAGTATCACCCGCCCCTGCATATCCTTTGTCTTCTCGTTATCAAGATTCTCCTAAAAGCGTTCGTAAAAGGTTTTCACGAAATCCAAAAGAAAGGCCACAAATGATACAACTCAGAGTGTTGTATGCATCCAAATAAGATCAAATAAATTCTCTTTCTGTCAATTTGCAGATGCCCAAAAACCTGAGATCGTTGAGGCTCCAAAGAACCAAATTGTCCTGATCGGTTCCGATGTTACCTTAAGCTGCACTGCTAGGGGTCTCCCGTGGCCAACAATCCGTTGAATAAAGGACAATGCTTCGTATCCTTTATAGTCTAACCCCAGAGCACGTGTCATTCAAGACAACCGAACCACTCGTAGCTGGCGTTTCATAAATAGAGTGAAGATGGAAGATTATGCGAAATATCAGTGTGCTGCAAACAACAGCGTCGGAAGAAGCAAATCAGGGATGGCTGTATTATAAAAAGGTTAGATATTTCTGGAATAAAAGGGAAAAATATAGATCTTGAACACGGTAACTACAAAGAATTCACTTTTGGATCAAAATCGCGAAGGTTTGGATTTAAAATGAGTCTACATCCTTTACACTTCTTCCTTATTCTTCTACTTTTTTTCTTGTCTTTTCATCCTTTGTCAATTGATAATTCTAAATTATTGCACTAATCATTGTCATCATAATTATGATGAAAAAAACTACAATTTCCTCGATTGTGATGAGATTAAAAAACTCCTAGTTTCTACTAATTTCGGACAATTTTTTATCGAACAGTTCAATAGGCCAATCATATTCAGAATTAAATTTTAAATCAACCAATCAAATTCAAAGTTGTAGTTTAAATCAACCAATCACAACCTTGGTTTCCTTTGTCAGCCTTTAAATGCAAATTTCCCTCTCCTTCATAACTTTGCTATTCTTCTTTTCTCGGAAATTGTAATTTTTATGATTAATTGGTAATAAGACTCAGCCCTATTACCATTACTTATGATTGTTATTAGCGTTGTTGTTATCATTATTAGAACTGTTGTTTTCCCTGCTTGAAATCTAAGACTACAGGCTCCAGAAAAATGTAAATATTTTTTATGATTTATCCACAGCAACTCCTACTCCCACACACCACAAGAACGGAAAGCCAGAAAATTCAGCATCTCAGACTAATATAATTGCTGTATCGTACACTATGGTAGCTGCAGTTATGTGTGTAGTCTCTAGATTTGTGTGGAATCGGCGTAAAAAATCGTGTCAAAGAGGTAAATGATACGTCACGTAACATTCCCATGGAGGGTGATGATCTCCTTTGACCGCAACGGAAGGGAAAAGAGTTGGTAATAATGATAATAATTATAATAACTATAATAAGCCTTAAAATTTAGGAAGTTTTTCTCGACTCTGCATCTTACTCTCTTATCATCACCATTACAAGAAGGAAGAATACATGAGTGAGTGCAGCAGCCACCACGTATCTCACTCCTCTCATTTGGGGGGAGGATCCTGATCAGAATTATCCTGAAGAGACTCAGGAAAAGCAGGGAGGAAGTTCTATTAGAAAGCTATTGTGCATAGTTTTAGGTCCGGTAACACAACAACGGACAAGATCTGACAAGAACAATAAAGTTGTTAAATAAATAAATAGATCTTCAATTTTCGGAAATTACTGTGGATAAGAAAATATCTGGGTTTCCAGATAAACTTGTGAATATAATCAAACTTTTCCACGAAGGAATGCTGTAAAGTGTCGGTCGGTGATGAGCCGATCGCTGCATTTACCGTTAATCATGGGGTTACACAAGGATGTGTCGATTCTCCATCTATGTGACTAAATTTCGTTTCCTGTGACCACAGGAGGCGATCAACATTAACCTATAATGGGGGCCTACACCATAACTAGGTTTAGATGGATGAGCCTTTAACTTGCCCGTCTACTATCTTCAACCAAGACAAGAGATCGTTGTAGTAGAGAGCTTTTTTATGCAGACGTCTCCGCTCGAGTCGTTACTGATTCTCCGCTCGAGTCGTTACTTATCTAGGAAATTGTCGACAAACTTTCCTTTTCCACAGACATGTTCGGGCACTGTGACAATATCTCTAAATCTGAGCTATTGAACCAAGCGTCTCCTAACTGCCCCTAGAAAGTGAGTCGCAAAACATGCTAAGTATAAGTGAAGTGTTAAGGGAATAACTCTTCTTAACACTCCGTTTTTCATACTTCACTTTATCAATAACAACTTTTAAGAGGATAAGCTGCGTTACAATCAATTTCTCAAGACCAGACAACAGTCTTTATAGATGACAGCAATCATTCCAAGTGTCAGAGAATTTTTTGTAAATGTCCATCAACCTACGACAGCCAATCGTGTTGGGTTGCGTGTAACTTTTCATGCATACTAAGTAACTTCCTTCGACTTATTTATCATTTACAGAAACGACTTTCCTCCTTAATTTTTTTACTGTCACACCTCAGTTCCAGAATAACGAACACAATGTTAGTAATATAAAAACTGTAAAGAAGAGTCTAGCGAAATCAGAATATGACTTTCTATGAGAACAACCGAGAAAATTATCTTAAAAGGTTGTTACATAACAATAGCTTAAACAGAAAAATTTGAAGAAGAAAGGGCGTATCTATGGCGCCGCCTTTCCCATCATTGAAATAATAATTAAATACAAAACAAATTGGATCGCAAAAACGATTCTGCGATTCGATGTACAATTAATTCACAATAAGAGAATATACGAACTAAAAAAGCTGAACATAAGAACATGCTATTTGAACTTGTCCAACTTTAGGCTCATCAGGAACTTTCCATCACAACTTTCAGTTTCGTCATACAACATCTGCTGAGTAGTATTCTATAGGAAAATTCATTACCTGACGAGGGAATTCCGCGTTAAGTTGCACTTGAAAACCGCGAAAGCCGATATCGGTATCGATATCGATACAGTTTTCAAATACAACTATGGCATATAAAATAGCCGATATCGATATCGATATCGATACAGTTTTCAAATACAACTATGGCATATAAAATAGCATGTTCTAACTATAGCATATGCAAATAGCATGTTCTTAGTGCCCGTTTCTGGGAAAGTGCTTTTATCAACCAATTTGTGAAACATTATCCGGTGCGTTGGCGCTGCAGATGAATTTGTGCCATAACTCAGTTGTCATCTGATCATCTGAATACATGCAATATGTGTGCAGCTGGTGGAGCATTTCTTCATTTCAACGATAAAATTGTCAAAAGTAAAATTAGTGTCCTTTTAAAAATTGTGTATTCAGGTGTTGGGAATTTAAAGACAATAAATATTTAGATAAGGAGAATCGCCCTGCTCGGAGGACTTACAAAAACCGTTTGCCAATAACATTTATTAAGAGAAAATCATTTTTAACTTTATCCTGAGCGCGCACTCCAGAAAGCCATTTCATTTCAAAGTCAACTGTCAGATCTGTCTGCGTTATCGAAAGGAAGCAAGGTCAGTCGGACACATTTGAATCTTCGACAACTTTACTTGAACCTTGTGCTTCACTTGTTTTTATATTTGGTCTCAAACTTTTTACACAAGGTTCACACTTATCTTAAGAGCAGTATTTCACTGAATTTACAAGCCGTTTATCTTAACATCTTTTTTCAAATTTCTAAATAATTTTCTGGAGAAGGAAAATAATTTACATCTTTCACCTCTTTGGTAGCAAAACTGAAAGAGATGAAGTGTGCAAGCGAAAGCTCTGAAAGTTTAACATCGCAATTAAAGGTGTTTATTTCTTCTTCTGTACGTATGACAATCGACCCTGTCCCTTTTTCCGTTCTTACTTCTTCGTCTTGTTTGGTTGAACTTTGGCTTGCCATTTTATGGGCCGCGTTCACAGGATTTTCTCGCTTTCTCGTTTTCGCGAGCGAAAGAGTTTCTTTATGCCTCTCTAAGAATTTGTAGTTCATTTCAAAACAGGGAAGAACCTCTGGCTCACTTTGAAAAACGCTTTCGATTGTTTTTGGCTCTTCAAAATGTGAAAATGGTTTTGAAAACACTTTAAAATGACATTGTAGGAAACTTTGTTACAATTTGAGGATAGTTGTTATGTTTACGTAGATGCGACACAATATCACTAAGCCTCGTTTTCAACCCCAAATTCCACGCTAAATACTTCGCTTCGTTGACCAATGAGAATGCGAGATTTTCTTCAATTATGTGATTCTATGATAAAAGAGGTCGTTTCGAAAGACGGTTTATTTTTGACTGGGTAAAGAGAGCATAACTTTCTATCACACCTCGTGTTGTACGACAGCTTATGATTAATTCGACTATCATCCTCTAAGTGGTACATTAACAAGACTCACAGTAAAACCATAAGGTAAGTTTATTTATTTTTTCTAACAATTTCTTTTTTAAATGACGATTTCTTTTGCATTTTTTTGCCAAGTAAAATAATGTTTCAATAAAGAAATGGCAATAAAAAAATAGTTATTTCGATCGTGGTATTGTTCACAGCGAAGACGAAGACGTATATACCACAAAGTTATTATTCAAAAGAATTTTCGGAAAAATTTATCGTGAAACAAAATCGTTTGATACAATACGTTTTATTATTATCACACAGCACAAAGTATAGTAAAAATAACGCGTTAATAGAGTACAAATATCCTGCGATCATTTGACGAGCCCGTAAG